TCTTTTCGCTGGAACCTAGCTCAGGGTAAAAGAGGTACCAACCACCAGAAGATAGAAACATGTCAGTGTACTGGAAGGACCAGAGCCTTGTAGCACCGGGCCCTACGGGGATTCCACCAGAAGGACGGGAGACCAGTTCCGTCTGCCACCGTCTGCTCTCCCCCCCCCGGCTTTCCCTGGTGTCTTCCGCACGTGGCATCAGATGGCTCCCCACGTGGCTTCATCTGTGTGATTGTCCAACTTCAGCGTCCCTTAATGTTTCTTAGCATAGATTTCTGAAATGGAGGCCTGTTGACCCAGCTCAATTTTTTGAGGCAAGCCACACATTTCAGAGGTTTTGAACAAGCCCGGATGAGCCAGCCATGGCCCTGCAGGCCACCTCGCCTGGTCCGGTGAGCGGAGGCCAGAGCGTGTGTGGTGAGGTGGTCCTGATGGTCCAGAAGGAGGCAACGTCTGGATAGGAAGCATATACGAACTTTACCCAGAAGGGCTGATGTGTCCCTGCTGAGTTTGCTTTTCTTTCTTTTTTTTTTTTTTTAAATATTTTATTTATTTATTTGACATAGAGCGAGAGACAGAGTGAGCACAAGCAAGGGGAGTGGCAGGCAGAGGCAGAGGGAGAAGCAGACTCCCCACAGAGAAGGGGGAGCCCGATGTGGGACTCGATCCCGGGACTCCGGGACCATGACCTGAGGCGAAGGAGTCGCTTAACCGACTGAGCCACCCAGGCGCCCTGAGTTTGCTTTTCTATCCTCCAGGATGGTTATTTCATGCCTGCTCTTTCCTCCAGCCTGCCTCCCAACTCCTCAGACTTTTCGCATTTCACGGAGAAAGTCCAAGCCTCTCATTCCTACCGCACGGTACAGACCTGTCTCCTCCTGTCCTGTCTTCTTCGCCTGCCGCCGGTTGGATTCAAAGTTGTGCCTTTGCGTCTCTCCAGGGCAAAGTGGCCCTTCTGGACCCTCCACTTGCTCCCCCAGCTCCCCCAGATGCCCCCACGTTTTGAGCGCCAGTTCCTGTCCTGGCTGCACACCGGCTTCCTGCGTGACCTCAGACCAGTTGTCCGGGCCCAGGCTGGTCAGGGTGCCGGCCTGGAGCCGTGTATCACGAGTCCTCCTGGGATTTGGGAGCTTGCGGCCCAATGCCAGGCAGCTGTGCACAACGCCTCAGTCCCACTGACTGTTTTTCATGGTAGAATGTTGTCGGCGAAGGAAGCAGAGTGCTCACTTGCCTTCTAGCACAGGCTTCTCAGAAGAGCGAGGGTTTGTGGATGACGCTGTAGTCACCCTAGTCGGAACCCTCCCCTCTCGCTCCACCGAGGTCACTCATGCCCGACCTTCACGTTGCCAACACCAGCAGAGGCTCTCAGGAGTGTTGGGAAGCAGTGCCCTTCTTGACTCTCGTGGTCGCCAGGACTTTCTGTTCTGCTTCTCCCCTTCACTTGCCTCTTCTCCGCAAGCTTCTTCGCTTGCTCGTCCCCTACCCGCTCTCCGACCGTCCGGTGCTGCGGGGGCCCGGGCTGGGCCTGTTTCTCCATCTACCTTGCCTTTCGTGAGCTCACCTTGTCCCATAGCTGATGACTTCCGAATATAGATCTGCAGCCCCCACCAAGCTCCTGACTTGTTGCTCCAGCCCCTCCTTGATATTTCCATGGCGATGTCCAACAGGCATCCTCGCCCATGGATTGGTGTGAGCCGAGCACTTACTGTTCTTTCTCAAGTCTGCCCCTTCTCCCTCAGCTCTTGAGGCAGGATCACCACCCAGCCAGCTGCTCAAGCTCCGAAATTTAGGTTTGCCTCCTGTGATTTCTGTCAGCTGTGCCCCCAAAGTATGGCCTGACTGCATCCTCCTCCCGGTCACCACTCCGCCTCCCAGGCGGAACCATCCCCCTCGCACCCTGGCCCGCGCCAGGAGCCTCCCTTTTCATTCCCCCATGCCCTGCTGTCCACGGGCCAGCTCGAGGGAGCTTTTGAAAGCCCGCACCTCCCTGTGTGAAGCCCTTCAGGACCTCGTGCTGCTCTTGGAATAAAGACGTGGCTCCTTACCGTGGCCCGTGAGCCCCCAGATGACCTGGCCTCTGCCCTCTCCAGGTCCATCCGACACTCTCCTGGCTCCTTCCACTCCTGCTGTTCTACCCCACTTTTGTCCCCCCTGGCCCCCTTCCCTCTCCTCCGGTGTCATCTCAGAGATGTTGTCCCTGATTCTTGGGCCCCAGGGAGAGCGTGGGGCTGTGGCTTGAGGCCACGGCATAGGTGAGTGAAAGCAGGGAGGCTGCCCCCTGTAGCGTAGCGGAGGGCCCAGAAGTCAGGCCTGCGTGTGCGTCCTTCACATCCCTACCAGACCTCTACTGTCCCCAGCAACTTGAGGCTTTTTTTCCTAAGCCTCCAGGGACTTCTGAATGCATCTCACAGATGTCAAGAGCTGGTCACCACGGAGGCTGCTGCCCCTGAGAGCTAAGGTGGGGGTGCAGACAGCCGCTGAAGGAGCAGGCCCAAAGTCAGGGCCCGCGCTGTGAGCCTGAGCTGCCGGGGCCCTTGCCACCCTGCACTCCGGGGCTGCCTGCCCGCGCCCGGCCCCGTGAGGGGTCCTGTGAGTGGCAACAGCGGCCCCTCCGTTTTTCATAGACCCGACAGGCCATTAACTCCACAGAGGAAGAGCTGCAAATCAGAGGGCGGTTAATGGCTTGTGTCTTTTTAGACAGTTTTGTGAGGCCGTGTCGGGGAGGGAGGGACTGCGGTTTCAGAGCCGACAGGGGATGCTGCCCCTGATGATGCTGTTTACAGACTGCGTGACCCACGGCAGGACACTTCTTCTCCTGCTCCTTGGTCTCTTCACTTCTCAAATGGGGATATTAAGCTTGTTCCATCCGACAGCTAAGAGGCACTGAGTGCCTTCTCCACGGCACACGCTGTGTTACAGGTTCTCGTCTCCTCCTCAGCAGGCCCGCTGAGGGCCACGCCGCCATGCTTAGCCCCTCCTGGGGGGTAGCCGGGGCATAGAGAAGCTCAGAGAGGCTGCCCAGGGTGGCGGGCAGGTGAGCTGTGGGGAGAGGAAGCCGGCTCTGCCTGGCTCGCGGCTTGTCCTGTGCCCCTGTGGGCGGCCAGAGCACCGTGGACGTGTGCCCTTTCCGGTGCTCACGGTCAGCCTCTGTGACAGAAGCTGCTCTTATTGTTCAGCTGATGACAGTGGGGCCCAGTGAGGCAAAGGGACTTGCCCGCAGCCATTCAGCCAGTCAGTGGGACGTCCTGGGTTTGACCCCAGGTCTGTCTGAATGTTCTGGGAAAGACTTGAAAAGGAGAACTGGTAAAGCAGGGATTCCTACACTTGTCAGGTGTTAAGAGAGTACTAGTGAGTATTTTTAAAAGCCTAATGGAAATTGTACACTTGCCAAAATAGGGTTGTCCTAAACTTTAATATTTGCTTTTGGCTGGCCTTATGCCATCCTAGTGCACGAAAATTAGTCATCTTGCACCATAAGAAACTCTACCCAATGTGGCTAATGTAGACAAAAATCCCGGGTCCACATGCGATGAGAGGAGCGGTAGGAGATGAACATCCCTCTGCCAACAGTTAGGTCTCATACAAGTCCTCTTCTGTCTCAGAAGCCCCATTCCAGATTCGCCATTTAACATGGTCACTTAGGTGTAAATGCCATCTTCCTCATCATTGTGGTAGTAGGCCACCCACTGCCCTGGGACAAAACTGCACACACAAGATCGTGTTACAAAAGTCCCTTTGTCTGAAGTGTACTGCCCCCCTGCCTCCAAGAGCATCTAACTGCACGCTAGTCCCGGGTACTGTGATGGACAGATTTCTTTTTTGTCCAGTACCCAGCTGCCACCCCTTGGCCGTGTTTAGAAGACACTCCACCTACCATAGAGACTCAGAGGCTGGGCTGGGGACATCCCAAGTCTGATGCACACAGGAGCTGGTGGTGCAGAGAAGCCCGGCGCTCGGCAGTTCATCCCGGATAGTGACCGCGGCGACACCAGGGACAGCGGTGGTGGCCTCAGCACCTCATGCTCCAGTGGCAGGGTCCGGGTGCTGACACGGTGTGAGTTGGCCTCTGGTTATGGCCACGCCGGCTCCCTCGTCCTGCTCATTTCCTGAGCCTGGTCCTCTGGCCATTCTGGGGATCCTGGGAGGCGCCAGACACCTTCTCAATCTCATTGTCAGCCAAAGGGCTAAGAATCCCACTTTTCTGGAGCTGTTGCTCCAGACAAGGTTTTGTAACAGGTTTGTAATTCATTCCCAGGCCCCTGACAGCACAGCTTCACCACCTGAGCACCTCCTCAGGGCACAGAATGTACCAGAATCCTAGTTTGAGTGGGCGGCCGGACCACATGCTCAGCCAGTCTCTGTTGTCTGTCTGACTCGGATCTCCACTCTGCTGCAGCCCACGGGGCATCCCTGGACCGTGGGCACCATGAGGGTGGGACGGAGTCCTCCACCTCGTCTCCAGCTCCTCGAGCAGTGCCCGGCACACGGGAGGTGCTCAGGAAGGTGTGACGGATTGGTGAACCAGTGCCCCCGGGCTCTCTCTAGCCACAGGGAGGCTGAGCTGGCCTGCGATCAAGCCCGGGGCTTGGGCAAGACGGAGCCACATGCCTGGAGTCCAGAGGTGGCCTGCAGCTTGCCACTAAAGCCTGGCTGGGGAGGCTGTGGCACTCAGAACAGTGAGGAGGGCAGGTGCCCCATCTCCTCTGAGTGGAGACCACATGCTTTCCAGGCCTTCCATGTCACACATGCACAGAGGCCCTAAGTGAGGAGGCTGGAGACCCACTCCCCGTTCGCTGAGGGCCCTGGAGTCCCAGGGTACATCCCACTCACCCCCACACCCGCTAGGTAGAGGGGCTGACATCTGTCGCATGAGCCCTACTGTTCCTCCCCGCCCCCCGCCCCGGCCCCGTCTTCTGAGCTGCAGGTTAGCAGTTGCCTTTCACTTTGTAGTTTCTTTTCCCTTTCCCCCCATTCATTTTTAATCATCGTTCTCTCCCCAGGAAGTTCGGCACCTTGACCAGAGGAGCGTGGCCCTTCCTTCCAAACCCTCTCCAGACATACCTTCCCAGCATTGCTCCAGAAAGATGCGGCAGCTCAAAGGCAAGCCCAAGAAGGAGACGTCCAAGGACAAGAAGGAGCGGAAGCAGGCCATGCAGGAGGCCCGGCAGCAGATCACCACGGTGGTGCTGCCCACGCTTGCCGTGGTTGTGCTCCTGATCGTGGTGTTCGTGTACGTGGCCACGCGCCCCACCATCACCGAGTGAGCACCGGGGGGGGGGGCAGACTCCCCCAGCAGGGAGCCGGAGCCCAGGAGGGGGAAAACGAAAGAAAAATGGCTTTCGTATTCAGAGATTTTTCCTGATGCTGAGCTCTAAGCTGGAGCACCCTGTCTTCTCTGGTGTTTGACTTGATTAAAGTTTCTCCAATTTCCCTGGGAGGGAATAGGGAACGTTTTATCAGTGAATGTGCCATACACCTTATGGTCCACTTCATGTGCCTTTCAGACTTCAAAGCAGTGTGTGTGTGTGTGCGTGTGTGTGTGTGTGTGTGTGTGTGTGTGTGTGTGTTTCTTTTTCGCTCCTGAAATCGATATGTAGCTCCACCTGGTGAGAGGAGGAATCTTCTGGGTCATGAATCAGTTGGAATCAGTGCTCACCCCATCCCCATTGTTTAGAACATGACTCTTTGCCTACATGTGGTTCACGATTTCCAAAGGGACTGTATTTCTTCTCTGTGCTTAATGTGATTTGAAATATGTCGACTCAAAAGTGAAATATTTATTTTTTGAATAAAGGAGATAATAGCCTTAAACTGGATGTTTATCTTGCTTTGCCAGGAGGTGGCCTTGCTCTGAGGGAAGCGCAAGGAGGTGTTGGGCACCCTCTCCGGGAGGCCGTTTCCCTCTTCTCTCCCCGCCCTGCCCCCCCCCAACCTTCACCTCCCCTCCGCTGCCTGCTTGAATCGCTTCCAGGATGGCTTCTGCTTTTTGTCTGGATCGGTTGAAGATTGAGAGACTCTTGAGAGGGGGAAGACAGGGTGCACTAATTGGTCTGTTTGAGCGAAGGAAGAGTTCTAATTGGAATAGGACTACAAGTGCTTTTTACACCAGTTAGAAACAGCAATGGGAAAGTGGTCCTGGAGGGAAAGGTCAGACTCGGTTCTGTTCCCGCTGAAAGGATGCAAATTGTTTGCAGTCCAGCTGAGTTTTTGATGCAAATTGGCCCTGCCAGAAAGGTTCTGCACTGTATTCTGAGGGCATTGTGAGCCCGGCCCTGGTTCCCGAGGGAGTGACCCCTTTTTGGAAGTCAGATTCATGATGACTATTGTGAGGGTGTTGGTCCGCTCATCATTGCTGATTACAGAGAGGTTTGTGGGGAGAGAAGTGCTTTTCTAATCACGGTGGCTACATGACTTGCTCACTGATGGCTCAGGCGGTTACTGAGGACGTGGGGCCTCTTGGAGCGAGTTCCTCAGGAAGATGAAGAAGCTGTTGGAAGGAAGGACCCCAACTGATGCCCCGCATTCCTGGACCTCAGTGGGGCTGACAGAGCTCCGTGGGCCCCTCTGTGAGAGCTGGTCTCAGAGGGAGATGCTGCGTGGCCTTGGGCCCACTCAGGTGACTGTGGCCCCGGGAAGAGATTTACTAAAATATTTATCAAATGCAGAGGCTGCTAGCCTATAGTGTTTCTTAAGTTTCTATTTTTCTCTCCCTTGTTCGGTTCTCTTCCAAGCCCCAGTGTTTGTGGTCTGGGAAAGGCTGAAGGCCATGGTCTCAGGGACCTGCTCATTCAGGTGCAGAGCAAAGAGGAGGCATTCCTGTTCTTCACAGCGGCCGCAGGGCCACTGAGATGTGGAGCTGTGCCCCCTTCTGTCCCAAGAGTGGCTGTTGAGGGTGGTGCAAGGAATGCCCATCCACTCTGCTAGAAAGAGCCCGGGCCATGTGTCGCGTGATCGCCTGGTCTGTGTTTAGTTCCCAGCCTATGCTTAGAACAGTGGAATCCCACCGAGTCTCAGTTTCCCTGTCCGTAAATAACTGGTCAAGTCACTTCTCGGGAAGTGGGCCATCTCGTAGAAAACGGGGCTTATTGAGCAAACCTGGGTCTTTATGCAGGTTTTGCTGCCGGAACCCCTTTTGAGTCCACTTCCTCATGTGAAAGTGGAGGTTATCTTGCCTCATAGGGTTGATGGGAGGAATCAACTGCAACAGTAAATTTGTAAAGCCAGGTCCGGCTCCTGGGACATAGTGGTTACTCTATGAATAGTAATGGTAGCTCAGCATTTTACACATATTAACTCACATATTTCTCATACAGCCCTAGGAGGTGGGTACTGTTAATACTCAGTTGTACAGATGAGTAAACTGAGGCAGGCCAAGAAACTTCTCAGTGTCTGACAACAAGTAAGTGGAGAAGCCCAGGTTTGTTTGTTTTTATTTTTATACTTTTGTTATGGGCAATTTCAAGCATATATAAAAATAGAATAATACGACATACCTCATGGAGCTATTGACCAGTTTCTGCAAGCCAGCACACGGCCACTCTTGTTCATCCATCTCTGCTGCCCCCACCCCCAGCCATCCTCTTGTGCACACACACATTGGGTCGTTTTGCAGCAAGACAGCACATGAGATTAAGGCTCAGACAGTCTGGCTCCAGCATCCATGCTCTTCACCATTAAGATCTATTACCTCTCAATAAATACTGATTTCCTTCTCACCAGTCTCCCCGTCTAAAGAAACCTTTCCTGCCCAGGTATGTGTGAACAGTCCTTACTGGACAGTGGTCATGAGCAGCCTCGGATGCCATCTCAAACAGGCCGTGAGTTCGGCTTTGTCCACTTGGTATCTAACAGCCCACTCAGTGTCTCATCTGTTGCTCGCTGGGCCAGGACCCTCAACCCCGTAGCAATCCAGGAGAGATATCTGTTTTGTGGGTTCCTTATTACAAGATCTGGGCATTCTTGCCTAGGACATTTGGGGTACGGTGTGAGAAGAGCATGTGCTCTGGGAACTCCTAACTCAGCCACTTTCTAGTCAGATAAACCTCAATCAGGTCCCATAACCTGAGCTGCAGTTAACCCACATCGATCAAGTAAGGTTCATTTTACTATGTGGAGAATGTTGGGAGGAGAAATAGGGAAAAAGCATGACATCGCGCCTGAAACGTTGTAGATGCTCAGTAAGTGGCCATTCCTTCCCTTCTTGTCAAACTTCACAGAACGTACATCAAGGCCTGCCTCCCTAGGCTCTCCTTGCCGGGCTGACACAACACCATCCACTGCGTAACAGATCCTTTAGGTGCTCCTGGCTCTTATTTTCACTCACTGTTTTCCTCTTTGTTGTCTGTCAGGGGGCCTAGTGAATTTGATCTGGATTTTCAAGAGAAGGCAATTACCAGACAGGCTTGGTGAAAGCAGGCTGAAAATGGCCTTTTAAAAGTTAACACAACTTTGATATGAACCACCTCCTGGCCAGGAGGAGATGCCAATTTACTGCGGGTAGAATTTAACAATTCCCAGGGTAAATAGTACTCCCATGTGGGTGCCCCAGTAATGATTTGAGACACCAGCTCTCACATTATTCCAAGTTATTCAGCAGCTTCAAGGCAAAACTGAATGATTTATTAGGAGTTTCACAGAAAGTCATGCTGGGGTTGTACAACAGGATCTGGGCTCTTGGCTCTCAGAGCCCTCATGACCCAGCCTAACATTTCTTGAAGAGCAAATTCCCAAAGAGGAATCGGGTTAGAAACAGGAATAGAAACAATTGTCATTGGTTTAAAAGGTGTCACTTGATGTGTTTTAAAAAATCACAATGCCAAGATGTATTTGTGTTTCTCCTGGTTCTGAAGCTACCAGCTTTCGTTCCTTGCCTGACAGTTCAAAACAGAGCAGCCCATACCTTTCCTCCATGCCTCCTTCATGAGGAAATAGGAAGTGTGCCGTCAGACTCACCTGTACTTTGGAGATGGGGACACCTGATCAGGGGTTGTTAGGAAGATGGAAGGAATGATCGTCCTTCCCTTTCCCGCCCAAAGGATCTCACATCATTATTTACCTGTTGGAGGTAGAAAAAGAAGGAAATCTCTTGGAACTGTGGCTCTTAGGTTTCTTTTTGGAAGTCTACCATCATATTATATGTGCGTGTATATAGCCCTGTATTAAAAATGTCCCATGTGGTCCTCCTAAAGGTGTCCGCCTTACTTTTTTTCTTTCCAATGAGATTTATTTTTTTATTATGTTAGACACAATACAGTACATCATTAGTTTTTGATGTAGCGTTCCATGATTCATTGTTTGTGCATAACACCCAGTGCTCCATGCTCCACACATGCCCTCCTTAATACCCATCACTGGACTAACACATTCCCCCCACCCCCCTCCCCTCTAAAACGCTCATTTTGTTTCTCAGAGTCCATAGTCTCTCATGGTTCGTCTCCCCCTCTGATTTCCCCCCCTTCCTTTTTCCCTTCCTTCCCCTAATGTCCTCCTTGCTATTCCTTATGTTCCACAAATAAGTGAAATCACATGATAATTGACTTTCTCTGCTTGACTTATTTCACTTAGCATAATCTCCTCCAGTCCCATCCATGTTGATGTAAAAGTTGGATATTCACCCTTTCTGATGGCTGAGTAATATTCCATTGTATATATGGACCACACCTTCTTTATCCACTCGTCTATTGAAGTGTCTGCCTTACCTTGAATGCAATTCTTCCCCCTAGGAGCCATCTCTAATTCTGTGTTCTCTACAGTATTTGCCACAGACTTGGTTAAGCATGAAAAAATGAGGTACAGAATCTTAAGATCAAGGAAATATATGAGTAGTTTCCTCATGACTCTTTCAGGATATCTGTACTCAAATTGGGTGAGGGTTTGCACATCCTCTGGATTCTTGTCCCACTTTCCCTCAGGCTTCCAAGATCAAGGAAAAGCACTTATGTCTGGAGGGTTCGCCTCACCTGCTCTATCAGGCCTAATTTTTCTTATGGGGCTTTGTGCAGTTTAGTACCCAGTCTGTCCTCTTCTATTCTGAGTATTTTCTCATTATTGTATAAGGAAAATGTCTCTGACTTCAATGTGTTTCAATTGGGTCATCTGTATTATCTCCCTGCCTGCCAGTCCTCTGGAAAGGAGCCACTCTTTTCAAAAAGCTTTTAATCCCTTAAGCTGTTGAGTAATAATTTAAGGAAAGTAGACCAGAGTGAGCATTGGGATGCGCAGTACTGCCATGGGTAAGGATCTCTCTCCTTCCCTTGTTCTTGACTTCCCCATTGTTATATGCAAGCTGTCTATCTTTGAACCTTCCTAGGAAGGACACCTGTCTCCACCTGTGAATATTCCTTTTCCAATTGAAACAAAGCACAGCTGTCCACAACGCTGATCACCTCCATTCTCTGAGAAAGCATATTAAGCCTTTTGGGATTAGGCCTAACTCACAAGGCACCAACTCCTGTGGACTGGAGTAAATGCATAAAGCCCATCGTGGACTCCTTCTGCAAGGCCCTCCACCTTGAAATACCTCTGCCTCTAGCTGCATTACTGGCTCAGTTGAAGTTTTTCCCATTCATTCATCTACCCAGATTTTCTAGAAACATTGAAATTCCCTGCCTCACACAGTCCTCTCAGACTGGCCATGGCAGCAATTTTAACATTAGGAAAACAATTATAAAATGAGCGTGCCATAAGGGGCAAAGGATGACATATACTAGTAAAGTAATAATAAATGATATGATCATGGATATGTATGTTGCCAACAATATAGCTTCAAAATAGATAAAGCAAGTGACCATGGACGCACTAGAAATAGATCA